CCCGCGTCTCCTGCATCGGCAGGCGGACTCTCAAGCACTGCGCCACCAGGGAAGCCCGAGCTTATTTATTTTTAATGGAGCATTAAGTATTTGTTTATTTGGTTATCTAGACCCAGTTCTTAGCCAGGAACTGAGAAAGAACTTACAAGCTATGGGGGAAATATGTGGATGAAAATTGTTTTTGTCTGCTCTGCTATTCCCTTCCCCTGTCCAAAAGACCCTCTTCTTTATTCAAATTTGCTTTATTCCCGTATTCACAGCCCAGACTGGAGTTCCTTGTAGCAAGCCTTTATTTCCTTTCTTGGAAAATGAGAATAACCATATTATCCTATAAGATTATATGAAGTTTAAATAATATAAGTTTTTTTTAAGATGCATAACATGACACAAATTTTGGATGCCATTTAATGTGTGTTTTCTAGTCCATTCCCCATGGAATCCTTGTCAAAGATGTTCTCTCTGGGTCTACCCATATCTTGCTCTTAGGGTCCCCTGTGCTAATTGTGATGAAGTCAATTAACAAAGCACATTCTATGTGCTTTACAAGCAGTCAAGTAGGGCCATGTGTCTTTATCATGTATTATGTAAAGATGATAATAAGTCTGATTTATTACATGGGTTTTCACATATTCCAAAAGACAAATATCTCGCTATTATCAATCTAATTTATATACCAAGAGTTAAAAGATACTTGCCCAGATAAAGACAAATTATAGCACCTTGTTTAAAACCTTTGTCTAAAACGAACAATAAGTATCATTGTCTAAAATGTTCCTTCAGAATTTATTTTAAGTGCCACAATTCATGACGCTTCCCACTGAACATTCCTCTATTGTTCTTTAGATCCTCCAAGCACCAAATGTTTTCCATAGAATAGCCTGAGCTTTGAAATTAAAATGAGCATTCCAGAAATGCTTCGTTCCTTATAATAAATGCCAGAGAAGTAAGAAATATGAAAAGAACATTGTATAAGAACATTGTGCTTGCATCAAAAAAAAATGCAATTGCAACTTGTTCAAGTTCAACCTGTCTTCTTTTTAAATACCCCAACATACAATAGTTATTTAATATTGATTAAACTAAATTTGTGATGCTTTCAATGATTCATTTTATTTCAGAAAGTAAATATGGCTTGGC